TTGGTCAAATTATTTAATTATGGTAAATTAGGAAATAATTAATGATGATAATAGAAATCCTAGAAGAATATTAGAATTGAAGAATATTTAATTATTGTTATATTATTATTGTGACTCAAGAAATACAATACAAGAATATTTAATTATGGTTATATTATTATTGTGTGCCTCACTGCTATTATATACTAACAAAACTTGAAAAGAAACTAATAATAATAATAATAATAATAATAATAATAATAATAATAATAATAATAATAATAATAATATAAGTGTTAAAATAATATTTAAAAGTAATTAAGTGTTAATAATAATAGTAAGCAATGTTGAAAAAACCGTTAGGCGCCCTCTAGGCGCCTGGGGACCGCCTAGGGCGCCTAGAGCGCCTAGGCGGGCGCCTAGAACGCCTAGGAGGCCGGGCGCCTAGGCGCGATTTTTGCAACAGTGATAGTAAGAATATTAACGTAAGAATTATAACATAGAATAAATCGTAATAATTAATAACTATAGTCTAGGATTAAATTTGGATTTGTCAGGAAAGATAAGCGACATCTGGTGAAATTAACTCTTTATCGATTTAAATATTCTTAATATATTACAATAATTCCATTCCGTGCATCGCACGGGTGAAAATACTAGTTAAAATAATAATAATAATAATAATAATAATAATAATAATAATAATAATAATAATAATAATAATAATAATAATAATAATAATAAAGAGTTAATCCAAAGTTAATGTAAATTTGTACAACTATATATAAGACCATCTCCAACCCAAAACACCAAATTTTACACTAAATTTTACACTAAAAGGAATATTCTCAGCATATTCTTACACCAAATATTTTTCATCTCCAACCCATTACACCAAATTCTGCACTAAATTTTTTTCTTTCATTAGAATAATTTATTTTCTCATAAATTAAGACTTTGTATTATAACTTTATATATTTTAATATAAAATATAATTATAATGCAAATATTATAAGTATTATAACTTTAAATATATGTTAAAATTATATTTATGTAATTTTATTTTTAATTAATTTATATTTAATATTAGTCTTATTTTAATCGTCTTGATAAGATCTTTCAAATGATATACTTTATTTTTAATAATTTAACAAAGTATATAAATATATTTAAAAAATCAGGACATAAAAGGAATTAAGAATAGAAGGAAGGGGCAAAATTGGAAGGAAAATACCCCACCAAATTTGCCGCAGATGAACAGTGCAGCGCCAAATATGGCGCTGCACTGTTCATGCTGCGCCAAACTTTTAGTGGGATGGCGCTCCATTGGAGCAGGGGCACACCATTTTTTCCACCATTTTGGCGCAATGGCATGCCCCTTGGAGATGGCCTAAGTACTAGGCTAATAATCAAAATTATTATTTTAAGTTATTTTTTAAAAAATAATTTTTTTAGCTAACAATTAATGTAAAAATAATGTTGGTCAGTGGATTGGATCGGAGGCGATTTTTTTTTTTTTTTAAACTTCAAAACATGATAAAAGAATATTTATAATAAAATATGAAATGATTGGAATAAATTGTATATCATCGCTATTAATATTATATTCATAAATACTTTTTAATTTAATTAGATCAACTCTAAATATTTTATATTAATTTAAATACGATAATACACAACTGAAACTTTTAAATTATATTAACTACATAGTTCATAAATATGAAATTTTCTTTTAAAATATTAACAAGATAGTTCAAATTGGTCCTCTGACTTTTAAATGCATCCAAAGTAGTCCTCTAACTATAGTAAAACACTGAATTGTCAGTTTTACCCTTCATTTAAACACCTACTTAACACCAAAACTAACAGAGGACCATTTTGGCTTAAAATTCAATAGTTGGAGGACCATTTTGAATGCAATTAAAAGTCAAGGAACCAATTTGAGAAAAAACCATAGTCGAATGACCATTTTGGAATTAACTCGTTTAAATAATCTAAAAGTTAATAGTTACATTTGGACTACACAAAGTGTGCAACCATAAATGTTGCAACAGTTCACTAGTTGCATGTAATAATAAACTTTTGCTTATTAGCTTCCCATATATCATTTATCCCAAAAAAAAAAAAAAAAGGTTCCCATATATCAATTATTTCATTGTCTAACATATATTCCCTACCATGTGGTGTTTTAACTTCCAATATCTCTAACTATATCTCCCTACACTTTGTCTATTTTGGGGTGCATCACTCACGTCACATCCCTATAAATCCTTTGGTCACTTTGACTCCACCTGGATTGTTTGCTATCCTCCCCATCTATCACAATTCACACAATATTCTTTTTTTTTTTTTACAAGAAAAATTCGCAGCACGATTCGAAAGTGTATACTGAGTAAATCTCACTTTCATATAATAGCCCACAAACTACACAAGAGAGGTAACGACACTAAGAAGACTCAGCGCGACATGCTCGATCAACAGAGAATCAAATTTGTGCCAATTCACTCAAACTCAAGCTTTTGCCCTTAAATGTGTTGGCAAGAATCTAATAACTCATAACACTTGTACGACAGGCTCGACCCTATACTCCACTACCCACTTGATCGACCATCCCTTTTAGGCCGGGCACATACAATATGCAAACATTCTTATTCATAGGCAGCTGGTAATTAATTAACAACTTATAAGGACACTTACCCTACCAACCATTAGGTCACATTTATTAAGGAGTGTGCTAGGTTGTGAACTGAAGTTAAGGGAAATAGCTTGAGTTTGGAGGGCACATATATATATAATGATAAGGACAATATAATTAGGGGTTGTGTTGTGTTGTGGCCACATTATATTGCCTCTACCATAGGAAAGAAGGAAACATCATTTGGTCTGCCGCTGTATTTCTGAATGGAAGATTGGAAGCAATTAAGATGTCAGAATCAGCAAATATTGTTAGTTGTACACTACACAAGATTCAATAGAAGTCCAAGGATCTCAGTCTCCGATTGAGACATTATTCTAAGTCTTGAGGGCACTCAAGAGCTTTCTTAGCCAACCAATCTGCTCCCAAGGATCCACCGCTTACACTCGCTAATGACTATTATGTTTATTTATATTGGATATAACTCAAAATGTATGTATAGTTGTACCATATACTATATGCCGACACTTGGCTTTACAGTACCACACACAATTAAAATTATTAGAGTAAGAGTTATATGAAATCGTCTCACGAATCTCAATCTGTGAGACAGGTCAGATCTTTAATTAATGGATCGAATAATTGACCTAATTAATCAAAGATCCGACACGTCTTACACAAATTTTTGCCAAATTATTATTATTAGTACAATGCAGTAATGCAGTGAATACTCCTGTGGAGACATTTCCCCGGCCTTATAGAAATAAGGCACACATATTACAGCCCATGTTGAGCCCAAATTTAAATTTTTATTCATTATATCTTAGACAGGAATTTACCATGCACATTATAAATCTTGGTTCAGATCATGAAACTTTAATTAACATATTATGTACATTCAGTTTAGAAATTATATAATGCCATAAATAACATGTTATATACATTCAGATTATTTATAAGTATATAATTCGTTAACTGAAATTACATAATATATTAAACGCAAGTACATAATATAATATAGACCACGATTTATAATGTGCATGATAATCTCTGGTGCATGATATAATTTGTGATAAATTTCTCCATATTGGGATATATTTTTTTCGATTTGTACTCAAAGAGAGTAGGGCCAGGAAAAAAAATTATTTTTCATTTTTTATTTTAAAGTTTTCTTCAAACTTATAGACAAGAAATTAAAGCCCATATTTATGATATGTTGTAAATGTAAAGTATAATTATGGATGTAATTCTTAATCCAAAATTTATATGGTGACCTGATAAGTCCAAACATTTTTAGAGTTAGGAGTTAGGACTAAGAAATTTTAGTATGATAAGAAATTGGCAATTTATATCGTGCACTAGGGCATACATTGCATTGTGTGTCCTGATGCAAAACGACGTCGTTTTGCACTTTTTTTTTTTTTTTTGAAAAATTTATTTTTCCGTGTTTGTTGTTAACTTGTTAAAAAAAAATCATGTTTTGAAAATTTATATAATTGTATACTAAAATGTATATAATTGTATATGAGAATGTATAACAGAATACACATAAATTTTTAATTGTTAAAAAAATCGCGTGTTCGAATGTATATAATTGTATACCAGAATGTACATAATTGTATAACATAATGTACATAATTATATAACATAATACACATACACTCTGTCGCGTCAACTCCCCACACAACTTAACAAAACCACGTCGTTTTTAGGAGGCGCGGAGCACACAGTGCTATGTGCACCGTGGTGTAGGGTATAACGATTGTAAAAAATTAACTTGATAAGCCGGATGACCAAAATGGGCTAGTCCGATAGCACGAGTCACTTAAAGCTATTCTTTTGTTTCACAATTGATGTGGAACAAAATATATAGGAAATTTATATGTAGGCTCTGTTTGGCATGCGTAGCTGAAAAGCTACTAATTGAAAGCTGAAAGTTGAAAAATTAGTAGCTGAAGTTGAAAAAATCTAGTAGTTAATAAGTAAAATGATTGAAATTAAGATGTTTGGTAAAATTAACTGATGAATAAGATGATCAGTGTAAAAAGATACACGGTTGGAAATCATCGGATTTCCGACCACCCAAAAGTGGTCGGAAACGGTCATAATTTTGGGCACAAACACCTGTTCCGACCACTTTTCCGATCAATTTAGATATTTGGAAAAACCCTCGTCGTTATTTTCGACCACCCAATAAAGTGGTCGGAAATAGCAACCACTTTTGGTGCGTCGTCGGAAATATTAGTCGGGGCAAAAAGTGAGTTTTGTACGTTTTCCGACCATTGGTGGTCGAAAAATTATGCCCATGAAGATTACAGACCTTGGATAATGTTAGGTGGTCGGAAACTAATGAAGTAAAATTAAAAAAAAAAATGAATCATTTCACTGCACTGTAACATTACAATCTATATAATTATTAATCAACTAATTTGTGTGTAACATTACAATCTAAGAGATTCATGCTTTAGAGATTGCAACAGTATAGTAACAAAAACAAGAAACCTAGTATAGGAAGAACGAAGACTCTTGTAGCTTATAGGCTTCATCCCTTAGCTGAGGTACCATTCTAATAGCATTGCTCAATATGGCCGATTTGTCCATTTTGGGTGGTTTTCCAGGGTCCATGACACAACTCAATTCTTGGAAACCGTGAAACAAATCCATGTTCACAATATCGACTAATGAATAGCGATGCAAGCACTAGTATAAATGTTAAATACAAAATTTTTTACAAGTCTAGGCATATATATAAGCAGCAATCAATTTCCACGGAGAGAGTAGAGTGTACCAGTCATTTAGCCTATACCTTTGCATTGTCTCTCTTTGTGCTTTAGAATCAGCTCCACTGCAAGCCCCAGATTTCATCCTGAAAATTAAAAGACTTGAAAATATAATATCAAGATTTCCATGCTAAAGAATAGCAAAGAAGGTGGGAAATCTAGAAAACAAACTTAGTATTTTGATGCACTACACTAAACCAGATAGTAATCTTGTGTAAATCCAAAGCAATCACACACATGCCATGCTAACCTCTTTATGGCGCTGCATTCGTTTGAAACATCAATTTTTACATATGACTCATCTTGTCAAATGCTGCAACATAACAGAGGATATCACAATTCACTAATTATGAGAAGTTAACTTTTCTTGATGAAACATAGTCAGGCCATGAATTATTCTCTAACAAACAAAATGAAAGGGAAAAGTTAAGCAGATGAAAATGTCAGTAAAAACAAATTGTGGCAATCCGTATTATAGTCAATTGTCAGCCAAGTCGTAACATCAAAACATATAAACATCATAAATTCTTCAATAGGCAGAGCTTTCAACACTGCTTCTTTGGCTTAAGGATCTTCAAAGACTAGAATGAGTCAACTGCTCTAATTGAGAGATTAACACAAAAGCCATACTCTACTCAGTATAATATGATTCTGAGACTATATAAAGGCAAATACCAACAAGGCAACAACAAGTACAAAAATCGGCCACAGCACAACAATGTTGAGCCGATAACACATTTGAGCATACAACAAAAGACCTTAGATAGATGCTCATTAACTCAACCAACAAAAGCACTTGTTTCATTTGGAATGTTATTCAAGACGGTTAGATTAGTTGTGGCACACGAAAGTTCTCTTAGATACATCATAGTAGGATGAACTCCTAATCTTATGTCTAAGAGAGTTGGAGACCTCAAGCTGACCAGATAAGTTGGGGGTCATTGGCTAGCCCTAGGGAGATATGACTATATACATCCAAATCAGCGTTATGACAGGCATGCAAAAGTCTCCCTGGAATATATAATGAGATCAACATCCAAAAATTATTTAAAAAAACAACTTAGCATAACACCTCATTTGATCCCTAGGCACCCTAGCAGCATCACCCATATACATAGTTATTGAAATTAAAGATCAAATGCTTTGGAAATAGCAAACAGACTACTTCATCAACAAGCTGATCTAAGCAACCTTGCGATACAATGGGATTTCCAGTGTTCTCAGGATTGTAAGAATTAACCTATAATCAGTTTAAATACACTCAAATATTACATTCTAGCATTCCATGTAAGAAGTGTTACATGGTACCATGGTCGTTTTCTACAGATGCATGCCTTTGATCATTGCTTGTATTTCCTTAGAAAAAAAGTGTCAAGGCCTATCTTGACTCAACTTATATGCAGCTATCTACCAGACTTCACCATATGTATCTTTAATCAAGGTTAAAAAAGGCGCACCTTGGTACGCCTCAAGGCGAGGCGCAGGGGTTAAGCTTGGAGGCGTACGCTTTTTACGCAAGGTAAGAGGCGTACGCCTGAACCCTATGAGGCGTACGCTTCAGGGCGTGCTTGAGGCTTTATTTGAGGCGTTTTGGCCTTTTTTAATTTCAGAGCCCATATTTAGTTTTTTAAACCGAAAATAAAAAGACCCAACCCATTAAAAATTATTCCCAACCCTAGTTTGATTAGGAAATAGAAGCCTGAAATGAATAGAACGAAACAAAAAAAAAAAAAAAATCAAAATACGAAGTTTCGTTGCCGCGACCTCTTTCTCCTGCGAGCGCCCCCTCCGACGACCTCCCCCTCCTGCGACTCTAGCTTCCGGCGACCTCAGCCTCAGGTGATGCGTCATTTCTTCACATCGTTTTTTTTTTGTTAACCTGGCTGTTAGAAGCTTATTATATATATATATATATATATATATATATATATATATAAAATGTGTGTGTGCGCACGCGCTTTTAGCAGTAGTCTTTGAATAGTGGATAGTAGTAGCCAGTAACCCAGTAGGCAATAGGCACTCGATAGTGGTAGGATTTTTTTTTTTTTGTTAACCTGGTTGTTAGAAGCTTAGTATTATATATATATATATATAATATATATATATATATATATATATATATATATATATATATATATATGTGTGTGTGCGTGCGCGCGCGCGCGCTTTTAGTAGTAGCCTTTGGATAGTGGATAGTGGCAATAGCCAGTAGCCCAGTAGGTACTGGATAGTGGTAGGATTTTTCTTAAATATCAATTTGTTTGAATTTTTAATTATTTCTAGGTTGATTGTTTATAAATGGTGAACCATTCAAAGAGGAATAGTGCGGGCAGTGGTTTAGGAAATCTTGGGGTGTCTACGGGTTCAAAAAATAAAAAAGATCCAGCTTGGGACCATTGTGTTGAACTTGTCATGGATGGTCAAGAGAAAATGGCATATAAATATGTCATATGCAATTATTGTAAGAAAGTCATCACAGGGGAAGTCGTCACGGATGAAACACCATCTCGTCGGGACAAAAAATAGTGTTAAACCGTGTGCCAATGTATAGGCAGAAGTTAAGCAAAAATTTGTTGACATATTAAACAAAGTTAAAGCCACTAAGAATTTAGCACAAATGGAGTTTGAGCAACGTGTGGACGTTGGCTCATACTTTGGAAGCGGGAGGGAAGGTGACGGTGAGGATGGAAACAATGTGGCTTCAGGTGGTTCTATCTCTAATAGATGTATTCGGGGGCCTATGGATAGATACATGATGAAAGGAAATGCTAGTGGCGACCAAACAACCACTATTACACCCCAAAATGCAAAAGAACTACGTCAACAATTGAGTTTAGACATTCGGAGGTTCTTTTATGAAAATGCAATACCATTCAATGTGGCAAGGAGTCCTTCATTTATTAACATGCTTCGGTCGGTTGGCGCATATGGTCGGGGACTTAAGCTTCCAAGCATATACGAGCTTAGGACATTGATATTGAAGGAAGAGTTAACAACAACAACAAAAATTGTTGAGGAATGAGGACATTAAGAGTACATGGCCTCTTACTGGAGTTTCAATCATGTTTGATGGTTGGCAAGATATTAGACATAAGAGTCTAATTAATTTCCTTGTCAATAATCCTAGTGGTAAAATTTTTTTGAAATGTGTTGATGCATCCGAGCATGTGAAAGATGCTAAATTGTTGTTTCGGTTGTTTGATGAAGTTGTTGAGGAAGTTGGAGAAGAGCTTGTGGTTCAAGTGATAACGGATAATGCAAGCAACTACTGGGCGGCGGGAAAGTTGCTTATGGAGAAAAGGAAGCATTTGTATTGGACTCCATGTGCTGCACATTGCCTTGATTTAATGCTAGAAAGAATTGGAGAGCCACCACAACACAAAAATGCTTTGACCAAGGCAAAGAAAGTGAGCAACTACATTTATAATCATTCTTGGGTTTTGAGCTTGATGAGGCAATTCACTAATAGAAAGCTTATTAGGCCAGCAGCTACTAGATTTGCAACTGCATATTTGACGTTGCAAAGTATTTATCAAGTCAGGCAACCATTGGAAGCTATGTTCACTTCTGAAAAGTGGACAAATAGTAATTACGTGATACACACCCAAGGGAATGGGTGGTTTACTCACGCAAAAAAAGGGAATCAACACAAGATTGGAAAGTAAGAAGTCTGGACAGCAAATCAGGCAAATCAAACAATCAACACACTGATTAAGGGACAAGTTTAAATCATGCAACCTGACATAAATAAATCAGCTTCTCAATTCTCTCCCTTTACTATATTTATTTTCTGCATTGCATTATAAATTGTAACCTCCTCAAGAGAGGAGGGCAGCCAATAATCTTCCTTAGTCTTTAAGCTTTAGTAGTTAGGCAAGAGTCTAAAACTCTTGTGGGGCAAGAGCCTAAAACTCTTGTTGGGGAAAGTCTTGTGACTTCCTGTTTCTTTTCTTTAGTTTCTAGTCTATCAAAATACCTCCTTGTTCTTTTCTCTAACATTACACAAGCAAAACTGATGGGAAGGAAGTTAGAAAAATAATTTTGAGAGATAATAGCTTTTGCCAAGTTTAATTTTTGCTATCAAGACTACAAAGCCTTTGGTTGAAGTATTGAGGCTAGTAGATGGAGAAAAAGAGCCAGCTATGTGTTTTCTATACAATGCTATGGATGAAGCCAAAGAGAAGATAACCAAGAACTTGGGTGGAGAAGAAAAGGATTACAAGAAGATATGAGATCTCATTGATGAAAAATGGGATTTTCAGATGCCCCGAGACTTGCATGCAGCTGCCTACTATTTAAATCCTCATTGCCATTATGCTCCTGGTTTTTCTACACATTTTGAGATCAAGCGTGGCTTATTAAATTATTTAGAAAAGCTCATACTCAATACAGATGAAATGGAGAAAGCTGACGTACAATGTAGTGTTTTCCACGGTAAACAAGGATTTTTTGGGTTGACTCAAGCTAAAAGCACACTCTACAAACAAAGTCCTGGTAATTAAAGTTTAAATTCTTACTTAAATAGTTAAATATGAGTGTTACTTAATTATAGTAAATTTAAATACTTAATGTTATATTGTTATTATTCTTTTAGTTGAATGGTGGACTCAATATGGAGATGGCACTCCCGAGCTTCAAAAGTTTGCAATTAAAGTGCAAGAAAAAAATTTGGTTAGCCCAAACTGATGAGTTCGATAGCCCAAAATCCAATTAGTTAGCCTAATTGATCAATAGTTATTGCGCGGATCACAGTCCAAAATCGACATCGTTTCACGCAATTTTTTTCACGTGATCCACTGCAACATTCATTTTCATAATGTACATTCTTCTAAAACATAATGTACATTATATTATTCTAACTCATAAAGTACATTATCTTACCCAGAAGTTTCATTATTCTAACACATAATTTACATTATTTTAACACATAAATTACATTATTCTAACTCATAAAATTCAACGACGTCGTTTTGGACCATGGTTCACACAGCTGTGTGGACCACGGTCCACACTTTGCCCTGATTGATATACCTAAATCTAAAAACATAATAAGTGTGAATGAAAGTTATACCCCTGATTTATGTCCGTTTTTTCCGTTAAATTTTTTTGTACATTACGCTATAAAGGTTGTACATTAAAATATTTTGGACAAACATACCCCTACCGTTATAACTTCCATTATCTTTTCCACTATTGTTACCATGCACATGCATCCACCATATATTTTCTTATCTTCTTCATTAATAATAATATATACACATTATATATTTGAGTTATATATTAATTATTACATAAAATATAAATATCAAATTTATAAAAATGATTTACATTATTATTATTATTATTTAGAATAATTTAAATATCTAAAATATAAATAAATTTAAAATTTTATTATAATGTATTAATATTGGGCACCTATTTTTTGCGCATCGCGCATAAAAAACACTAGTATAGATATAAATGTTGAGCATATAGTCATTAAGGTGCAATTCAACTATAAGCTTAGGCTTTTAGTTGAGATAGAGAATATGCTTCAATTTGGTGGAACCCACCACACACGTGAGGGGGCGTGTTGAGCATATAGCCATTAATGCTCAATCCAACTATGAGCTTAGGCTTTTAGTTGAGATGGAGCACATGCTTCAATTATAAAAGTGAAATTCAAAATTATTATCTTAATTACATCATTAAATGAAGTCAATTGAGTTACCATGATTTACATCCTCCTAATGCTCTGTCGGGTCGGGGTGTGAGAGCCTTTAGGATTAGGGTTCAGCCTTTTTGAAAGAATAATTTACGTATGATATGATAATATTGGTGCAGTCCATATTCATTTTTATTTTCCGAGTGGCGTGCATACTGGGACACTGAAAATTATATAACATTCCAAAATTTCATTGAATAACTATTACTCCGTAATTAATAAAACGTCAAAGAGTTGACTTTGATTCCCCCACCGTTTATATTAGAGCCGTCATTTTATATACTTTATTGGAAGGACGATAATTATTGCTAAACTATTTCTGGATCATAATTTCAAAATTTCATCTGCCACTTGCATTCGTCGTAACAAGAAATGTATCTTTGCGTAATTAGAAGCCAAAATCAGACAGCAAGTCGGGGGTTTAGAATAAGAAAATTCTCTATAGAGTTGATAAAGAAGTTCTCTTACCTAAAACATTCTGCACTAACCTAAAAATATTGTGAGTCGTTCCAGTCTAATCCCAGTTGGGTTATCTGCAAGTGTTGATGCTTTAATCTTGACCAACTCAACTACATTTGGAGCAGTGGTTGCCTCTCACACGGATGATTTTCTAACTGCTATTTCTGGACCCTAAGACCAATGAAGGATCCATATCTTGTTGAAGCTCTCGTAGTTAAAAAAACTCTATCTTGATTGAAGGATTAGCGACGACACAAAGTTTGTATCCATCATATTGCCGACAAGTTTGTTGACTTTTTAACGACCTTCCCATAGATCTATCATTTGTAATTGGGAATAGTCGTAGAATATTATCTAAGTTTCAGGCATATGTCATTAGATACATTAGTAGATCAATGAATGTGCAGGCTCACACATTAGCTAGGGCTTCCCATTTGAACTCTGGTCTTTGTAACTGGGTTGACTCTCCTCCTCACTGTATTCGATCGATAAGTAATTGAGTTTATTTTCTCAAATTTTTTTTTTTAAAAAAAAGAACAATTATTGCCAAAATATTTTGTGCATCTAACGCAGTCGCCAATTGGATCATAATTTCAAAATTTCCTCTTCTCTATCTAAATTAAATAAATAAATAAATAAATAAATAAACTCATCTGGACTTCAATGTCACCATAAATGTTAGCCAAAACTGCCCGTAGAATGATTAATCTATTGCTCGCCAGTGTGGAATAATGTGATTTTTTAATACAAATACATTGGACTAAAATATTCAAATAGTCTGACCAATCGCCACAAGTCATGTCGTTGAATCTAATATTTTTTTGAAAGCAACCAATGTGGTTATATTTAGAGATAAACTGAAATAGCGTCAGGGACAGAGTCTCAATACATAGCCGTAGAAAGTTGTGTAGTTGTAGAAGCTAATGTGGTGAGCTAATAAATTATGTGATCTAGGAACAAAATTAACTGAGCAAAAATTAAATGAAATCATGCAAGCTTTGCAGGCATCAATAGCATAACCAATATACGATTTAGGCGAAGCCCCTGGTGAGGATAAATAGCACTGTAACGTCTAACAATTCGTGTAAATATGGACGGCATGTTCACCACGCTCTTGTAGCCATGATAAAGCTTCTTTGCACGCAAACGCCTCGGCCATGAGCGGGGAGAAGCAGCTCGGCAAAGACGCATTGTACGCTGCAACGTATCCTCCGTCGGCGTTTAGCAATATTGTGCCCACCGTGGCCGAATTTGTGGTATGAAAATATCCAGCATCTATAAAGCATCTTCTTGGCCGTGTATCCACCGTAGCAGCAGCAGGAGGTTCCGACAGTGGCGGCAGCAGCAACGTTGTCGGCAGCGTCCCGGTCGGCAGAGCAGTGTACCCGACGCCATGCATGCATCGTTGCGGCCGCCACGGCAATCAATTTCCTAGGTAGGGGTAGACAGGCATCCCATACTGCTCTATTTCGTGCTCTCCAAATATGATATATGGTAGAGAATACCCCGATCGACATGCCTTCGTCCTTTTCTTCTTGTTTGTGCAGGTTACAGGTCAGATTTCTTAGAAGAACCCGGTCGGTCCCCGACCGGGCATCACCCGACCGGCGTTGTCGACTACCGATCGGTAGCCCTTAGGCGAGAGAGCTGAGAAGAGACACGTGGCAACGCTACGTGCTGACAGGCAGGGCACCCGGGAGGGCGACACGTGGTTGCTACGTGGGTGACATGCCAGACGGCTGGACTTGTGTCTCTGGCTCCACAGCTATAAATACCCGCGATAGCAACAGTGTGGGGGACTTTTGGACGATCGATAGGTTGTTATTAGAGAATCCCGACCGCAGTCAGTCGGTACTCAGAACAGCCATTTAGATTGTACTTAGGGCCTTCACCTCGGTCAATAAAAGATATTTAATTGCTTTAATTGATCTTGTGTTTATTTATTTCCGCTTACGTGGCAGTTAACACTATCAATATAGAATCGCAGCTGCATATATAATTCCATTAGTGTCTAGAACATTTAAGATTGCACTTAACCACTCATGGAAAATATTTGTCACAATATTGGAGAGTGGAGGTTGGATTGTGCCCATATGGAAGTAGCATAGCCACACGATACTAATGAATGCATAATGTTTTCTTGCATGATTCCACACATGGCACATATCGGATCCACATCCACTCTCTTTATAAGCAGATTGTTGGTAGTGGGGATGTATCACTTATAGCTCTCCATAAAAATGTCTTCCACTTTGGGTGGATTCTTAGTCTCCACAGGGTGAGCCATTTATCAAATGCCCCATTATTATTATTTGTATAGTTCCCAACAATACGCCTGTAGCCGTTCTTTATAGAATAGCAACATTTCGGGTCCCATGCCAATACCACACATCCTCATAGTTTGGGGAAATTGGTATCTGATTGTAGTATATTTGCAAACAAATAATACCCGGAGTATTGGGTAATTGGTCCACAGGAAGTGGTTGTATTAAGCACTAGTTACTAATTTATTCTTTGAAGCTAATCCTAACAATTGATTTGGATGATTGCATAAAATAAATTAAATAAAACAAAGCAATGATTCAGAGTTTTGGAAGCAAAGTAGAGAGATTGAGATTCCTGGGATATTAAATCTGGGTTCATACGAGTGTGAGGATGCAAAGTGATATAGAGCTACTCTCGCAGTCACTAACACTAATGAATATCAACTCTCGTGCGATAATCACCCAATAAAACAAGAATAAGCATCATAAATTCCTAACTACTACCTTCTCTGGAACTGGCAATAATCAAGAATTAAACTCCCTAAATAAATTACACTTTCTTAATGTGCAACAATTAGGTGCAATTATGTGTGCTCTAAATTATGTCCAACTCTCGTTGTGACACAAAGAAAGCAAACGAAGCAAGTAACTATGACCACTAATTACAAGCATCAAACAATAAAATCACAATTGGGACACAAGTATTAAACCCAAATAATAATATATTAAAGAATCTGAGAGCTCAGGCACATAGGTTCATAAACACTTTTACCCAAGAATCTCTAAAAAATTTAGCCAAGCATAGCTAAATTATACATAGCAAATAAATAAAATAATTACAAATTATCAAAGAGAGTACAAGAATGAACCGGACAATTTTCTCAAATCTCCCTAGTCTTCTTCTTGATTCCCAAGATAACTTGCGGCTTTTGATTTCTATCTTTCTTGTTTCCAAAGATCTCTGAATGAATATTAGGGTTGGAGAATGTGGGATTTTATAGCTAAAAGTCTAGAATCAATCTCGTTGAAAATAGAATTTTGTGCGAAATTGGACTGAAATTACATGTAACATGAAATTGCAATTTCCTTCTTTGAGTAAATACCACCTATGGTCCCTCGAGTTTGGTGGCATCGCCATCAATGGTCCCTAACTTTCGTAATTACCATCCGTCATCCTCCGAGTTGTCAAAAGTTACCTTCTAGCGTCCTTCTGTTACTTCCTCCCGTCTCAGCCGTCAAAATGGAGGGTAATATTGTCATTTGACTTATACGAAAAGAGTTAGTACCAGCCAAGGTCCCTCGAGTTTGGTGGTTTGGCCATCTTTAGTCCCAAGTTTCCATATTCCATTATTTTCCTTCTTTCATATTCTCCTCTTCAAATGTATTATTATTACTATTATTTATAGTTATTATTAAATTCTTATTATTATTACTATTATTTAAAGTTATTATTGTTATTATTAAATTATTGTTGTTATTAAATTATTATTATTATTATTGTTATTGTTATTATTATATTATTAGCATTAAATTATTATTGTTATTATTATTATTATTATTATAATATTCATATTCATATTATTATTATTATTATTATTATTATTATTATTATTGTTGTTGTTGTTGTTGTTGTTGTTATTGTTATTATTAAATTATTATTATTATTATTATTATTATTATTATTATTATTATTATTATTATTGTTATTGTTATTGTTATTATTATTATTATTATTATTATTAAATTCTTATTATTATTACTATTATTTTATTGTTATTGTTATTATTATTATTATTAAATTATTGAATTATTATTATTATTGTTGTTGTTGTTGTAGAAATGTGCAAATGCTATATAGGATGAGTGTATTAATAAAATCAGAAAATTAGAGAAATAAAAATCTGGAGGAATGGAAAAATGGAAAACTGAAAAAATGGAGAATGAAAACTGGAAAAATTGAGAAAGAAAACTGGAGAAATGGAGAAATGAAAAACTGGAAACGGAAAAACAGATAAATGAAGTAAACGACCCCTATACATTTGTAAATTTTCTTTAATATTGTATAGGAGAAGAGGGAGTTCGAGTTGGAAGTTGAGAAACCACCAACTTTTTTTAATATTGTTTAGCCAAGTTTGGGACTAAAGATGGCCAAACCACCAATAATTATAATAATAATAATAATAATTTAATAATAACAATAACAATAACAATAATAATAATATGAATATAAATATAATAATAATAATAACAATAATAATAATAATAATAATAATAATAATAATAATAATAATAATAATAATTTAATGCTAATAATATAACAATAACAATAATAATAATAATAATAATAATAATAATAATAATAATAATAATAATAATAATAATTTAATAATAAAAATAATAACTTTAAATAATAGTAATAATAATAAGAATTTAATAATAACTATAAATAATAGTAATAATAATACATTTGAAGAAGAGAATATGACAGAAGGAAAATAATGGAATATGAAAACTTGGGACTAAAGATGGCCAAACCACCAAACTCGAGGGACCTTGACTGGTATTAACTCTTTTCGTATAAGTCAAATGACAATATTACCTTCCATTTTGACGGCTGAGACGGGAGGAAGTAACGAAAGGACACTAGAATGTAACTTTTGACAACTCGAAGGATGTCGGATGGTAATTACGGAAGTTAGGGACCATTGATGGCGATGCCACCAAACTCGAGGGACCATAGGTGGTATTTACTCTTCCTTCTTTCTTTACTAGTATTTTCACCCGTGCGATGTACGGAATGGAATTGTTGTAATATATTAAGAATATTTAAATCGATATATAATTATTTAAGAGTTAATTTCACCAGAGGTCGTTTATCTTTCCTGACAATTTCAAATTTAATCCTAGACTATAGTTATTAATTATTACAATTTATTATTATTATTAGTTTCTTTTCAAGTACTGTTAGTATATAATGGTCGTGAGGCACAATAATAATATAACCATAATTAAATATTCTTGTATTGTATTCCGGAGTTAATGCCATTTTTGGTCCTAGACTTATTGAGGCATTGACACCTTTCATCCTCCATAATAAAAATTGCCACTTAGTAGACACTGTTATTGGGATTGATGTCAAATGTGAAATTCGTGATTGTTAGTTGGGTGAAGATGGTTTCTTAATGTTAGAAAGGACTGAAGCGGATAACCTCAGTTTGAAGAAATGGATGTAGCAATGACCAATGGATGGAGAAATACAAGGATTAGAACATAAAAAGACAGAAAAACCCTTCTAATTCACGGTCAACAAACGACGTCATTGACGGAGGATCAAAACTGTCCAACGATCAATAACAGTGGCTACTAAGTGGCAATTTTTATTATGGAGGATGAAAAGTGTCAATGCCCCAATAAGTCTAGGACCAAAAATGGCATTAACTCTTGTATTCCGTGAGTCACAATAATAATATAACAATAATTAAATATTGTTCAATTCTATATTCTTCTAGGATTTCTATTACCATCATTAATTATTCCCAAATTTACCATAATTAAATAATTTGACCAATTATAAAGAAAGATTATTAAATAATGCACGGGACAATTGTTTAATTAAAAATTTTAAAAATTCATTAATAAAACATAAGGTTCTCATAGTTTTTTCTTAGAAACTCTTTAATAAAGCATTTTTATGTTTTAGAAATTGGTGGGCCAAACCTCCTACGGCAGTTTGCGGTGGATAGATCTCAAAAAAATATGCGATTTCAAAAAAATATTTGTCCAAAACGGACAACGGAGTCAAAAGTTATGCCTTGCCGAACTTTTGACACTTTACAACTTAAAAATAAAAAATAAAAAATTAAAGGCCGGTTCAGCCGGCGAGGTGGCCGCTGAGAAGGCTGGCGAGGCGGCCGCTGAGAAGGCCGATTCCGGCCTTCCTCGCCGCGGCCAGCGACACGATTTTTGCAACACTGATATATAAAATAGATATATATTAGAATAGAAATAGTATTACACAATTTTATAATATTACAATAAAATTTTAACCCAGAATTATTATAGAAATCAATATATTTTATTAGGAAGAGAGATTTTTTAGGAATTGTGGGGGAAGTTAAAATTTCAGGATTTTGTTTTTATATATAGTATAGATATAGATTGTATTACACTATTTTATAATATTAGAATAGAATTTTAACGCAGAATTATTGTACGAATGGGAATGTAGAAATCAATATATTTTATTAGGAAGAGAGATTTTTTAGGAATTGGGCGGGAAGATAAAATTTCAGGATTTTGTTTTTATATATAGTATAGATATAGATTGTATTACACTATTTTATAATATTAGAATAGAATTTTAACGCAGAATTATTGTACGAATGGGAAAGTAGAAATCAATATATTTTATTAGGAAGAGAGATTTTTTAGGAATTGGGCGGAAAGTTAAAATTTCAGGATTTTGTTTTTATATATAGTATAGAAGTATAGATTGTATTACACTATTTTATAATATTAGAATAGAATTTTAACGCAGAATTATTGTACGAATGGGAAAGTGGAAATCAATATATTTTATTAGGAAGAGAGATTTTGTAAGAATTGGGCGGGAAGTTAAAATTTCAGGATTTTGTTTTTATATATAGTATAGATTGTATTACACTATTTTATAATATTAGAATAGAATTTTAACGCATAATTATTGTACGAATGGGAAAGTAGAAATCAATATATTTTATTAGGAAGAGAGATTTTGTAGGAATTGGGCGGGAAGTTAAAATTTCAGGATTTTGTTTTTATATATAGTATAGAAGAGAGATTTTGTAAGAATTGGGCGGGAAGTTAAAATTTCAGGATTTTGTTTTTATATATAGTATAGATTGTATTACACTATTTTATTTTAAATATGAAGGAGGGGGGAACCCAATATGAAGGAGGGGGGAACCCAACAGAGTACTGCAAAGATTACATCGTGCATTTAGTCAGAGCTTACAAGTCTCCAATGAGGCCATCCAGAGTTATCATCGTCAAGGATATTTACAATGCCAAGAGGTGGAGACTGGAAAATATGGAGTCCTCTGGGAAGGGCCTTGGCAAGCCGTGCTATGAAGTCTGCTGCACCATTCTGTTCGCGGCAAACACCTTGAATCGACCAAGATTCCAGAGCGCGTAGTTCTCTCTTGCATGCGGTGATGATATTCCGAGTTACAGGTAGAAGCGGAGAAGAGCCATTGATGAAGTTAACTAACTCCATTGAGTCCGTTTCAAAAATTACTTTCCTAAAGCCCCTGCTTGCTGCCAATTGGATTCCCTTGAGGAAGGCCCAGGCTTCTGCTTCTATAGGTGAGCAGCGGCCGATGTTGTATGCAAAGCCCTGCTCCCAGTTGCCCGCTTCGTCACGAATAATTCCTCCGCCTCCAGCTCTAGCATCGTGGTAATCAACTGCTCCGTCAATGTTAACCTTCATAAAACCGTCAGGGGGTCTGGACCATGACACATGTTTCCATATGAGCTCCTGCATAACTCGGGCACCTTTAGCTCTGTGGTAGGCTGCGGATACTTCTTGTGCTTGCAAGATGATCCACTCGACTTTAGCTCTAACTGGTTTCCTCTCGTTTTTGAAAATGGCTTCGTTTCTCCATCTCCAGATCCACCAAAGTGCCAAGGCAAAGAGTACGTTTTTGTCAAGAGGGATTCTCACATCGTGCTTACCAGAGATTCCTTTTCTGAACCAAACTTCGAAAGGGATGTTCTGTGACACCCCGGAATTGTATGGAAGAAGAGCATCCCAAATTGGCTTGGCTTCACTACACTTACGCAGAATATGTTCCGTGTCTTCCACATCATTTACACAGCACCAACACTTGTCGCAAAGAGACATACCACGTTTCATTCTATTTTTATTCGACAGAATTTTGTCATGGGAAACTAGCCAGAGGAAAGTACGAACTTTATTTGGGACTTTAAGCTTCCAGATGCTCGTCCATATTGCAGCTTCCACCGGGGTGTGGAGCCCCGTGGCTATATCATAAGCTGATGATACAGAAAAGGATCCCGACGCTTCATTCTTCCACCTTACGGAGTCGATGGCCTCTGGGTCCGTTATTACTACAAATGCTTCCAGCTTCTCTATAACATCATCGGGTAACCTGTTAGCTAACAGGCTCCATTTCCAGCCAGTGTTCAGGTCCCAATAAAAGGAGACATTCTTAGTAATCTCTTCCGGAGGTAAATCGCTAAGAGCATCGATCAAAAGGTGGTGGTCCTCTAACCACTTGTCTAACCAAAAAAGCGTATGCTCACCATTCCCGACTTGAATACGGATGCCTTTCTCCAATAGAGGTACTGCTTTTAAAATACCCTTCCATGCATTTGACATATTCGCTCTTGGCTGCCATTGCTTACAATCTGATGGATGAGCCTTGTATTTAGATTTTAAAATTTCGGCCCATAGACTATTTCCTTCATGCATCAATCTCCATCCAAGTTTCGCCATAAATGAGAAGTTCATTGATTCCAGTCTTCTAATGCCCAAGCCTCCACAGTGCTTACTTCTTGTAACGGTGTCCCAGTTCGCAAGGTGACACTTTCTTTCGCCATCTATACTTCCCCAGAGAAAGTTACGGATCAGCTTCTCCATTTCCATGATGACTCCTGATGGTAAAAGCGTGGACTGCATAATGTGATATGGAATGGATGTTAGGGCGGATTGTATTAACACAAGCCTTCCTGCTAGTGTAAGGGTCCTATTCTTCCAACCGGATAGTCTTCCTTTCATTCTATCGAGGATGGCCGAGTATGACTCCTTCTTCAGCCTCCCATGAATGGATGGTACACCGAGGTATTTGCCCAAGTCGTTGACATTCGGGATTCCAAAGTATGAAGTGATCTCCTGCTGCAAGACTGATTCTGTGTTCCTTGAGAAGTGCAAGGATGACTTGTGTCGATTCATCTTCTGATCGGAAAGTAGGCAGAAAGTGTCCAGGCAGTGCTTCATTTCTTGAGCTTGTTCGATTGTGGCTTCCTCGAAAAGAATCAAATCGTCTGCAAAAAATAAATGAGAAAGGTTAGGCCCATTCCTTGTAATCTTAATCCCCTTCCATCGACCCCTGCCCAAAGAATCCTGAATAATGTGACTGAGTTTTTCCATACAGATAATAAAAAGTGAGGGAGAAAGAGGATCCCCTTGTCTAATTCCACATGTTGGGTTGAACCATTCTGTCAGCTTTCCATTGCATTGGACTGCCAGCCTAGGTGATGAGACACATTCCATGATGCAGTCAATCCAATTGCTATTTAGACCTATATCAACTAGAGTGTTTCTCAAAAAATCCCATGACAACTTGTCGTATGCCTTCTCGAGGTCCACCTTTATCATGAGCCAACCTGTTGACCCTTTCTTGAATCTCATAGAATGAAGAACCTCCTGGTAGACCAGGATGTTATCTGAGATCATTCTTCCTGGTATAAAGCTTGTCTGATGACCCCCAATTAATTTTGGTAAGACTTCTTTCAACCTAGTAGCCATAGTTTTAGCGAGAACCTTATACGTCACATTGCAGAGACCAATCGGACGTAGCTGCTTTGCTGAAATCGGGCTCTCGACTTTCGGTATTAAGCAGATGTGCGTATCATTGCAGCCCGGAGCTAGCTTCCTGTTAGAGAAAAAATCGTGGGCAAAGCTCGTCAAAGAGGTACCCACCACACTCCAGGTCTTTTGGAAGAAACCGGCAGTAAAGCCATCGGGGCCTGGAGCTTTACAGGGATCCATATCGAATAATGCGGCCTTTATTTCGTCATCCGTGAATGGACTATTGAGGAAGTTCCAATCTTGGTCCGTGAGGGTTGGGAAGTTACCATGGGGAAGGCTATTACTCCCATCTACTCTGCCCGTGTAGATATCAATGAAGTAATTCCTAATATGAACTCTCAGCTGGTTGTCATCCGTGATCAAATCCCCATTGTCATTTCTTATGTTTGTGATTTTATCCTTCTTGCTCTTAATTGCAGTTGCTAGGTGGTAGAATCGGGTATTACAGTCTCCTGATGTGATCCACTCCTTTCTAGATCTTTGAAACCAGATCATTTCTTCTTGGTATAGAGTTTCGTTTAGTTCCCTTCTAAGTTTCCTTTCCAGCTTCAAAAGGTTTTGACGTGGCTGATAGGTAAGAATTCGTTGAACTCCAGCAATACGTGCCAAAAGACGCTTCTTCCTTTTAAAGATGTTGCCAAAAGTATTGCAGTTCCATTCTATCAAAGCTTCTGCCGCTCTTTTTTTGTTATCCTCCAGATCCCTTGTAGCACACCAAACCTCTCTGACCAGAGGCAGGAAGGTAGTATGTAACGACCAAGCTATGTTGAATCTGAATCTTTTATCCTCAGGGACTGAAGACGGCGAGTGGGTCCTGATGAGCAGAGGGCCGTGATCAGAACTCAAAATCGGAAGATTTTCCACAAATGCGTCAGAAAATCTAAGTTTCCATTCAATGTTGCAAAGGGCTCTGTCCAAACGAGCTCCTTTGAAAGATTCAGAACTAATGCCTCTCATCCAAGTAAATTTTGATCCTTTGAATCCCATATCCAATAAGCCCTATCGGAAGATCCATTCATTAAACTCTGCGCACCTAGATTCCTGGAAACTCTCCCTGCTGCTCACCTCATCCCTGCAGGTTACCGAATTGAAATCACCTGCCAACAACCAAGGTAAAGGATGATTCAGATTGTCCTGACTTAAATCATTATACAGAAGTTTTCTAAGAATTCGATCTGGGCTGCCATAGACAAGAGTGAACAGCCATGGTTCTGCTCCACCATTTGTCACCTGCAAAGTAATAAATTGTGGGTGAGTCCTAATGACTTCTATGCCTAAACACTTGTTCCACAAGATCCAAATACCCCCCGAAAAACCTACTGCTTCTACCCTCACCCATTCTTCAAAACCAAAGGAAGAACATATTCTATCAGCTTGAGCGCCTGATACTTTGGGCTCTAGCAAACAAATCAAGGTGGGATGATAATCCCTGCATAATTGCTTAAGGGTGCGCTTGAATGACTTCGAAGCAGCCCCTTGACAATTCCATACTAGACTAATCATAAAAAAATAAAAAGAGGCAAGAAAACGCGCTAATCGCGCGAAGGAGTCTGGTTTTGGGGGCCAAAACGGCCCTGATGATCTACATCCTCCATTGAGGCTTCATTCACTACTGCTCCATGATTGCTCGAAGTGCCTCCCTGATCCGGTGGATTTTCTTTGAAGGCATTCTCAAGCCCCGCGGTCATGGGAGGAGTCCGATACGAGTCTTCGTGAAAGACCACAGTAGTCGCGATCTCTTTCCCAAATCTTGAGCCTCTGACCATGGTATGGTCAGTTTCGCCTGCTGCTCTGTTGGGTGTCCTGTAGGATACGCCACCCCTGGTATATTGACCTCTTCCACGACCTCTTGCGAACGTTCGAGCTCCTTCCGACCGATTTGGCCGGCTAGAATTCCCTTGTGCTTCCACTGGGATAGTGTGGGTGGGAGATTTCTGGGCGTTAGGGCGTGCAGTTCTTATCCTTGGTAAGTTTATGTTTTGATGATTGACTTCAGAGGTTCTCGATGGGTCTCCTTGAACCTAAGCTACTTGTTCTTCCTCCAAACCGTCTAGTGATGCAAAACAGCTCTGTTCCCCTATACCTTCAAAGTTTTTCTCTGTCGTTCTTGCAGTTTCCTGCTGTTTAGCCACACCATGGTTATTTTGGCCTTTCGGCCTATGTCTCCTCTCCTTTCTCGAAACAAGCATCCAAGCCCCGTATTTCTTAGGTGGTTCTTGGGATGTTATCGGTTGCGGTCTCTCCGGTTGGCTTCCGCCTTGATGGTCAGAGTCCATCACTTCCACCCCTGCAATCTTACCACAATTTTCTTGACGATGACCGTATGTACCACATTCGAAACACACGAGGTGAAAGCCTTCATACTCAATTAGCCATTCCTTCTCGTCAAGAACGTATTTGGGCATTAGGGGCTGCGAGATGTCGATCTCTACACAGATCCTTGCAAACTTGCCTTTTGCCACCAAGCCAGTAGTTAAGTCTATTTTAACTGGTTTGCCTAGCCCTTTCCCTAACCTCATAAGAAACTCTTCCTCAAAATACTCAATGGGCATGGTTGGGAACCTGATCCACACTAGCAATTTCTTTGTTTTCTTGTTTCTTGGGTCAAAGTTGGGCTCCCATCGTTGAACCACCAGGTAATGGTCTAGCACTAGCCAAGGGCCACCGTACATGGCGGTTTCAAGATCTCTGGTGGATTCGAATTTCACAAGAAAATAGTCTAGGTCAAGTGCTATCAGCTCAAATGGTGCTTCCGGCTTCCACATTCTCTGTAGTTTCTGCAACAGAAAAGAATAACCCACAGTTCTACCAAGAAGCTTAATAATGAGGGACTTACGCCACGGTCTTCTCAATCTTTCCTTCTCTTCTTTAGTAACCAAGATAACGGGATACTCCGATTTGGCAAGGTTTTCATTCATCACATCATCATCTGAATCGTACTCCTCCTCCATCGGGGGCATCTGGGTTCTTCTCGTCCATGCAGAACTTGGGGAAGCCGCCGGAGTCGTCCATTGGTTGGATTCCGGGGATGCAATATCTGCTAGAGAGGGTGACTCTTGTCTTGTTCTCGAAGATTGTAGATCCATCTGGGGCCCGAGCATTTCCCGTCTCCTCTTGGGCTTCTTAGTTGATCGTGCAAGTAGGTCCTGATCCTCCGGCGACCGATGGGTCGCCGTCGGTGAGGGCAGATTCAAGGTCGGACTTGGGTCTAGCTCCATAGAGAGAGAATCGTCATTAATATTATTTTAACGCAGAATTATTGTACGAATGGGAAAGTAGAAATCAATATATTTTATTAGGAAGAGAGATTTTTTAGGATTTGGGCGGAAAGTTAAAATTTCAGGATTTTGTTTTTATATATAGTATAGATTTGTGGAGATTGCCGCCTCTTTCTTTTGGAATTTAGTGCCTCCCTTTTGATTTGCAAATCAGCAACATTTAATTATAGAATTTAGTGCCGTCCCTTATATTTTGGAAATAAGTGCAATTCATTTGTAATGCATGCAATGTCTCGCAAGCCAGCGCCTTTTTATTCTTCCAAAACAGGTTGAACCCCAACCCTAAAGGTCCTTCTTATTGATTCAGCGCATTCTCGACTTCGACGTGTCGAGAAGTAACTCGACGCGTCGCGTCTAGATGCCGAGACTTACAAAACACTCTGGATGGATTCGACGGGTCGAGTTTGAGACTCGACGCGTCAAGTCTTATGGGTTCCAAACATGTTTATTTTGTCTCCAATTTCGTCCTAGAACTTTCCTTGCTTATAGAATTGCCCTACAATCAAAAACACTAACAAACATCATAAAATATTCAAAACAAGTGTGAACTATAATTAAATAATAAAATAGAGGATTATGCAATTAAATTACTAAAATCATGAACTCAAACCTATTAAATATAATCAATATTAATACTAGAAATATGCACAACCAGACTCACATCAGTATGTTTAGAATTCGGGGCATATCATTTGTTGAAAAATATCCGAGACAATATGATGGTCCAAAGTCCCTGTATTCTAATCTATCAAGCCAAGCACTTTAGCTCCCGCCAGCTGCGGTGGCATCTCCGTAATCATAGGATCTAAGTCATCCTGAAGCCACGGGTGCTCCCAAATTAAAGTAGAAATTCCAGTCCCAACACGCCGTCCCACTTCTCCACAAACCAGTTCCTTAGCCACCATGATACTACGCCAACGATAACTGAGGTTATTTCCTAGACATGCCTCAAAGAAAATTTGTTTAGGATAATATCTCGCTTGATATACACAGGACACCAATGAGTCAGTGTTGGTAAGCATCCGTCGCCTGCTTGCACAGCATTGCTAAGTTAAATGCTCTAAGATCCTTGAAACCCAACCCCCCATATTTTTTTGGGATACACAATCTATCCCATGCTTTCCAATGAATTTCATGGTCAGTACCTAATCCCCACCAATAACGGTTCATTGTCCTCTCAATGCCCGTGCAAACAACAACAAGTAGTAAAAAACCACCCATCGAAAAAGTAGGCATAGACGAGCCACACTTTTCAACAAGATTTCTTTACCTGCCTGTGTCAGTAGCTTTTTATTCTATGGTCCAATTCTTTGCCTGATTTTATCCTCAATATATGCAATTGTTGCCCGCTTATTCCTCCCAATAAAAGAGGGTAAGCCTAATACTTTCTAAAATTAGGAGCATGATTTTATCCTCAATATATGCAAATGATGCTCGTTGAATGTAATATTTAGTTTAATAGACTTTAAAGTTTTATATTTAATATAATTTGTATATATATATATTCATTTAAACCTCAATTATAATTAATTTGACTTCACATATATAGAGAGAAGAGAAATTAGATATAAAATAAATATAGTTCTTACATAAATAATCTTTTTCAAATGAATAAGTTTTTTGTGGAGATTTTCGACAAATATCGCCTGTTATTTTATTTAAATACGTTAGTTATATAATTAAAGTAGTTATTTCAAATTCAAATTCCTTTTAAAAAAATCAAATTCAAATAATATAACAATAAACTTTAAAATCAACATAATAATACCATAATTAAACTTTTAAAAATAATAAATATTACATTGTATAGTTATATTTACATTTTTAATCAAACTCATTCTGAGCTCAAGAACTCAAGTACGTTTTTTTGTTTCCACAACTATTACTTTCTTTGCTAATTCAGAGGATGTCAAAAATTTAATTGATAAATTTTTTAAATTAATAATAGTTCGTGCATCGGGACAATTACTAGTTTAGTTTAATAGACTTTAAACTATGACATGGCATGATTAAGATTTGGCCTATTTAGTAAAAAGGTCAAATTTAGGGTTATTTTTTTTATCAGGCCATGGGGTATCCTAAGCGTGTCTTAACTATAGGTAAATTATTGCATGGACCATGGTCCACACAATTGTGTGGACCATGAATATCAGGTACATTTTTAATATACTAAGGGTACATTATTTTTTTACCGAAGGTACATTATTTTTGTATTGAAGGTAAATTATATAAAATAATGTACCATTAGTATATTAAAAATGTACTTTTTATTTATGGTTCACACAATTGTGTGGATCATGGTCCATGCAATAATGATTGTTAACTGTATGAGGCACTCTAAAGCCAATATGGCAAGCACGGCAAATTATGTTGTGCATCCGTATGCACCGTGCATGGTGCATACGGATGCAAAAACGATGTCGTTTTATTAAAAACGCGCGTTTCCCCTTAAAAAAAAATTTCAGGTTCGATTCCCAGCAACAACATATGAACTATAATTCCAGAATTGATGAACTATAATTCCAGAATCGATGAACTATAATTCTAGAATCTATGAACTAAAATTCCAGAATCTAATCTATGAACTAAAAATTCCAGAATGAATGAACTAAAATTCCAGAATCTATGAACTAAAATTTCAGAATCGATAAACTACAATTCCAGAATCGATGAACTATAATTCCATAATCAATGAACTAAAATTCCATAATCTATGAACTAAAATTCCAGAATGAATGAACAACATAATGTTGTTGCTGGGAATCGAACTTGAATTTTTTTTTTTAAGGGGAGACAGGCGTTTTTAATAAAACGACGTCGTTTTTGCATCCGTATGCACCACACATGGTGCATACGGATGCACAACATAACTACCCGACAAGCACTTTGTCCCTTAATTGGGCCGGTCTGGTCTAAATAGGGATTAGTCTGAGTATGATACGACCTTATGATATGACAAAAATGTAGGCCTAAGTTTGATCTTTTTACTAAATAGTCCAAATCTTAATCATGTCAGGTCATACGCTCTATGAAGGGTCTAGCCTATTTTCATCTATATCCACCAATAAATGTTACCCAATATCTAGAGTACAAAAAATAACCTCGCAAATTATTATGTCGACCATGGTTCACAGAGTCGCAATTTATATCATAGATTAGGATTCATATAGCATTGTGGGTCCTTGATCAAAATGACGAGGTACAAAATTCATACTTGTAAGGTACAGAATTTCATAACAAAAGACACAAATGGTCATAATACAAAACACATACACATGTTATATATATTTACTTATTTTTCAAATCTGATTTAGGAACAAAATTTGTGTTCATAGGCACGGAATTTCACAATACAAAATAAAAAATTTCATAACATTAGCACAATTACTAATTTGTTTCAGGTACAGAATTCATACTCTTAAGGTACAAAATTTCATAACACAAGACACAAAAACTCATAACATAAAACACATACACATGCACCAAAATTCATACTGCATTGTGAATCCTGGTCCATAGTATAAGGATTGCACATAGTGTTGTGCGGATCATAAAAAGTACATTTTTAATATACTTAAAGTACATTATTTGTGTATTGAATGTACATTATACAAAATAATTTACTTTCAGTACTTTCTCTTAATACATGTTAGAGCATCCACTATAGAGAAGAATGAAGAGTTATTTCACAACTTTTGAGGTGCAAATGCCATGTTGGAGGAGTGAGGTGAAGAGAGATAGTGTTTTTTTTTTCATACATGTTAGAGCATCCACTATAGAGAAGAATGATGAGTTATTTCACAACTTTTGTGGTGCAAATGCCATGTTGGAGGAGTGAGGTGAAGAGAGATAGTGTTTTTTTTTCCTGCAAATGTTGAGAAATAAATGTAAAGACAGCAGTTCCCCAACTGAATGTTGAGAAATAAATGAGAAGACAGCAGTTGCTGTGCGCTTTTTAAATAATGCGCAATAACAACTCAAATATCCTTCTTAAGTAGGTGTCAAATCATCCACACTAATTGAATTGGTTTTCCAATCCAAAATAGGATTTGAACTCACAACCTCTCTTAAAGAACGAGAATGTACAACCACTCACGTCATCCAAACTAGTTATAATCCTTATCAATTTAACGCAATCATCAAAAGAATCATAATTCAAATTTGGAAAAAAAAATAGAAAATTAAATAATACTTTTTTTTTTTTTTGTAAATGCTTAAAAAAAGGGAAAGGGAAAGGAAATCCTCAATAGTCAGTACTATGATTATAATGTTGAAAAAAGTTAAAGATTCTAAGTGTGTAACAAATTTCTAGTCTATGCTAAAGAAAATTGGAGATAACTATTATTATATTGATAGTGTTGGTACACGACTTGTAAGGCTTGGTATTAGACTTTGTGTACATTGTATTTAATGATTGCTTTGTTTGTTTCTTTTTATTTTTTTATTTTTTTACTAGTATATATATATATATATATATATATATATATATATATATATATATATATATATATATATAGAGAAGAGCGCTCATATGCGGCGGGGTCTTACGGTGCGGCGGTGCAGTCAAATTCCAGAATACACCAACAGTGTTAACAATATGCACCAATAGTGTAATAAAAACACACCCCAATGAAATGTAATAAAACATCACAAAATACACCACAGACTCAAAAAAACACACCATATAACTCACCACCCCCAATGGTGTATTTCCGAACAGTGTATGGTGTTTTTACTCACACCTAATGGTGTGTGTTTGGTGATGCAAGGCTCTGTTTACTCTGTTTTGTGTGGTGTATTTCCTAACGTTGATGATGCATATTTGGTGAACTATTGGTGTTGCCGCACCGTAAGAAATAACCGCACCGTAAGACACTGTCGCACCTGAACCCGCCTCTATATATATATATATATATATATATATATATATATATATATAT